TGCACGTCGGTCAGCATCTCTGGCCAGTAGTAGTATCGCTGCAGCTGCTGTCGTGATTTCTCTACTCCGAAATGTCCTGAGGTAACTCCGTCGTGTGCCTCCTGTAGCAGTAACTCCCTTAGTAAAGTGTAGCCCGGTATCCAGATGCGGTCGGTGTCGGCTTTTACGTAATAAACCCCCTTTTCTACTGCGAACTGCTGCGAATTGCCTCCTGTGAAGAATGGGTCTGTTTGGTAGCCGTGGGTAAATAGTCCTGTAAGTAGTGGGCTGTATTTCGGCAGTGGGGCGGGTCAGTGCGTCGGCGATGTTAGATGCTCCCTTTTTGTAGGTCCGTGTAGTGAAAGTTGGACTCGATGAAGTCAAGCCAACGGACCTGTCGAGGGTTGAGGTGGGGCTGTGCACGGAGGTACTGTAGTGATTTGTGGTTAGTCCGTACTGTCACGTCTGCGCCGGTCAAGTAACAACGCCAGACCTTGAATGCATGCACGATCGCGAGCATTTCGCGGTCGTGTATCGGGTAATTTTTCTCGGGCGGATGCAGTTTTCGTGACTCATATGCGATGGGCTGTAAGCCGTTGCCGAAATCCTGTAGCAGTACGGCTCCGATGGCGATGTCGCTTGCGTCTGTAACTACCTCAAATGGGCGGTGTGGGTCGGCGATGCGCAGTACAGGTGGTGAACAGAGAACATGTTTCAGGGCAGAGAAGGCAGCATGCTCTTTCTCCCCCCACGTAAAAACGACCCCCTTCCGCAGCAGATCCGTCGGTGGGGCAGTTAACCGTGCCATGTCGGGGAGGAACCGATGCACATAATTAACGAACCCTAAAAAACTCTGCAGCTCTGTGATATTTGTCGGGGGGTGCCACGCTTTTACCGTGTCCAGCTTCTTTGGGTCGATCTAAACTCCAGCCTCCGAGATAACGTGCCCCAGAAATTCTAACCTGTCCTGAAAAAACACGTACTTGGAACCCTTGGTCAGTAGTTGATGCTCGTCTAAAACTTTAAACACTGCTTCCAGATCTGTTAAGTGCTGCTGCTTGTCGCGACTGTAGACCAGGATGTCGTCGAGGTAAACTATCACGCATTTGTCTAACACTGGCCTAAACGCCTCGTTCATGGTCATCTGAAATGTCGCCGGTGCGTTGGTCAGCCCGAATGGCATCACAGTGTACTCGAATGACCCGCATCTGGTCCAAAATGTTGTCTTCGCGCAGTCCGATGGTTCGACTCGAATCTGGTGGTACCCTTCCCGCAGGTCGATTTATAAAAAAAAAAAAACCCGTGTTGTTCGCAGTTGATCTATCAGTTCGTCAGCGCGGGGGATGGGGTATCGCGATTTGATTGTTACCTTGTTTAGTGCGCGGTATTCGATACATATGCGGAACCCTCCGTGTTTTTTTGGTGTGAACAGTATCGGTGCGGCGAACGGTGATGAGCTCGGTCGGATGAATTTTTTCTTCAGTAAATAATCTAACTTCTTCCTCAGTTTGTCAAGTTCGGGCTGTGTCAGTCGGAACTGTCGCTGTACGGTTGGCTGTGCCCCCGGTTCTAATTCTATGCGGTGGTCGTGTGCTCGTTGAGGTAGGAGTCCCTCCGGTAAGTCATCTGGAAAAATCACAGGGTACCGTTTCAGTAGTTCCTGTAGTTCGGGCGGTACGGCTGCTAGCAATTTCTGAAAATCACTCGGCTCCTCTGCTTCGCCTACTACCGTGATGTCTACTACATACACGTCAGCTCCAGCGGCGACAGCCCGTTTCATCGTGATGGCGTTGACGTGGACCGTTGAAGACTCAGGCGACTGCCAGCGAGGTAGTGCGATCCAGTTACCGCCGCTTCGCAAAGTGCAGCTACCTGTCGTCCAGTCAATTCGCGGGTTGTAGCATCGCACCCAATCACGTCCCAGTAAAATGTCGTGCCCATCCAGCGTCGTCGCGAGCATTTCCTGTGTAAACCCGAAACCCCCCCCCCCCCCCCGCAGCGAACCTTCACTCTCTCCACTTTTTCCCGTATAGCCAGTGGCGTGTCGTCAACTAAGCGTGCGTCGACCTCCGGAAAACAGCGGCTAAGTGTCAGATGCAACTTCCGTGCCGTCGCGGTATTAACTAAGCTGTGACTTGCTCCTCCGTCAATAAAAATCTTCACTGCTACCCCTAGTATTTTCCCGTGAATCAGAGTGGGGAATCTGTCGCTGTACCCTCCTTATGAAGCCGAGCCCGGTCGATTGCATGAATCGGTACTGTGACTCGGTGAGGGTCAGTGAGGTCGGCCGAGCAGTGAGTCTCGTCAGTAGTGGGCCCGTACTCTACTGACTGTTGGCGTTTCCTTGCCTCCCAGACTCCCTCCCCTGCTCTGCTCCACGGCGCCTTAGCTCCTCTGGGCATTCGCTCTTGCGATGGCCCGGCCTGTTGCACGCGACGCAGCGCCCTTTAAACGGCGTGGCAACTGCATTCGTCGCAATGGCGTGTACAGTGGCGTGCTCGGTCGGCCCCCGAGGGCGATGTCCGTAGTAGGACCCCGATCTCGGACGGCGTAGGATGTCGATTTTCTCCGCTAGCGCCAAGATTTCGTTGAAGTTCGAGATCCCGCGAAGAAGAATTTCTTGCGAGATTTCCGGCTTCAGGCCGCCGACGTAGCGATCCACTCGCTCCGCTTCGTGCATGTAGCCGACTTGCTCGCACAGCGCGAGAAATCCGCTGGTGTAGTCTTGGACCGACCCAAGCTGTCGCCAAGTGCGCAGCTTATGACATGCTGAAATCGAGGCCGCGATTGGCTCGAAGCGCGTCCGAAGCGCTGCGCACCACGCGTCTCACGTGCTGTATTGGGCTGTCTCGCAGAATGAACTCCAGGTGACGGTTGGGCCCGCGGGCCCTTCCTCTTGCGACAGTGGCTCATAGGCGCGTGGCGACGTCACGATGACTCGCCACCAGTCCATGGCAGGGCCCCGCAGCAACGATACGGCATACCGAATCTTCGCTGCATCCGACGTGACGTAGTTCGCGTAAAAAAACATGTTTATCGTGAACACCCACGATTGAACCGTCGGACCTCCACGCTGGCTAGGATCGAAGCACGGCGGGCGTTGCGGCTTGAGTCGCATCGGCTCACCAATGTCGTCGTTGCCGGCTGATGTCGCAAATCCGACATGACGACGAGCCTCGCGAGGTACATTTACGCCCGATGTGGTCGTGGCTCTCTCCATGCCCGGCATAGATTGGGCGGCGCCGTCGCTGGCTGCGCCTGAGCGCTGTCCCACGCTATCGTGCTGCGACGGTGTGCCGGATGAGATGATAATCGGCTCCTCCGATTGTGCCGGTGCATTTGCAGGTGCTGGTGCTGGTGCATTCACTGTTGATTGCTGTCGGGCGGAGTCGCGTTCTGCCATGAGCGTCGCAATTTCGAGCGTTGATTCCTCGAGCTGGCGCACGAGTTGGTCGAGGCGTTCTTGCGTCAACGTCGCAAGGTTGAATTCGGCCATAGCAGGGGTGTCGGGCGAGCTCAGCGAGAGCCTCGGTCGTGGCTGACTGTGCTTACGAGAAGGCACACGGGCAGCGGTGCTTGATCGCTGAGAGACGTATAACCCCCCCAAAAATTGAGATAGTGGGGAAGCGAAGGTGTGGGTGCGGTCCAAGAAGAGATCGTAGGCTCTGAATACCAAGTGTTACGAGTGCAATTGAGTGAACGAGCGAGAATTGCACTATCGAAGCAAAAGCACAATGAGCGAATGAATGAGCGAACAATATATAGCGAAAGCCTAGCGTGGTAACGGTCATGCGCGAGAATGTGGTGCGCAACGGGCCTAGCGTCGAGGTTGGGAAATGTCGAGGCGGAGGACCGGAGCGCGGGTTACCAACCGAACCGTGAGGTTGGGTTTGTCAGAATCCCAACCACTTAGACCATTGGGATAAAAGGGCTTGTTTGTGTAACGGGTTTGTGCGCCCATAACCCCCCAGGCGAACGCGCTTGTAACCCCCCCTAGGATCAACCGGGCATCCACAGTGCAGATCTACTGACATCCCCCCATACTGGGAGGCCCAGGACTGAGCACAGCGGCAACGGCCTCCATGTGCATACACCGGGATTCGAACCCGAGACCGCTCTGATACCATGTCAGAATCCCAACCACTTAGACCATTGGGATAAAATGGCTTGTTTGTGTAGCGGGTTTGAGCGCCCATAACCCTCCAGGCGAACGCGCCTGTAACCCCCCCTAGAATCAACCGGGCATCCACAGTGCAGATCTACTGACAGGGTGGTTAGGTGTACAGTGGCGTGAGCAATGGTCGGGGCGAGTGTCGCGAGCGGGTAACGTTTCACTGTTGGGTTCCTTTGGCGGGAACCGTCGTGTACGCGTTACGCAGGGGCGCGAAGTAAGGAAAATGAATTTTCTTTACAGTATCACGGACAGTCACAGTATAGTTCGTATCTATCTCGGGTGATCACAGCGCTATCACGGATAGTCACACCTTGCCCCGTATTGTTAGGGCGTGTTACGTACCCCACTTTTTGGTGGCCGATCGAGGCAACTGAGCGACGGTCGAGGCAACCAGCAAGGTTCACCGTACAGTACCGAGATGGGTCTAAAACGTAACACATACGGTAAAACCGAAGAGTTTCAAACTCCAAATTGGCCGGTCGAGGCAACCAGCGCAGGCTAACGAGGTACGTAACACGCTCTTATCAAGTTTAGTCACACGATGAAACGATCGCTAAGAATATGAAACTCGAAACGTCACTGTTGTATGCGTTGATGAGGTGCAGAGTAAGGGCGTGTTACGTACCCCACTTTTTGGTGGCCGGTCGAGGCAACCGAGCAACGGTCGAGGCAACCAACAAGGTTCACCGTACATTACCGATCTTGGTCTAAAACGTACCGCATAGAAACGAAGAGTTTCCAAAGTCAAATTGGCCGGTCGAGGCAACCAGCACAGGCTAACAACGTACGTAACACGCTCTAAGGAATCCAGAAAAAAACCAGGCCTTAAAATCAAAAGAGAGCGCGGCTACCAGAATCCAATATTCACCGTGAAGTAACCGGCGAGCAACCTCCCATTTGTCGAGCGCAGCTCGTTTATCAATCGGCTCCAGTTAGACCCAAGCGCACCCACAAAGTAGTCGCACTGTGACGCAATAATAGCGCTCGCGAAGCTCTCTGTAACTGACTGCTTGAACTCATACTCGCGGTTCCCCCTGGAATCCACGGGCTGGCGCGCGTTGGAGGAGTAGAGGAACCTCCAATCAGTGTACAAGGCTGATTCCTTGACCACAGACTGTCAGGCGGGTGGGGCAGAAGGTAGGGAGGAAGGTACATGGGAGGAAAAGCATAAAAAGGGGTGGATCGCGTGTGAGGGAAGGTACGCGAAGCCATTGCAAAGCGATAAAGAGGTGGAGCATAAGGCGTGAGCAATGTAAGCATTTGTTGCCCCACGCACCTCCACCTCCGTATTGAGCCACACGTATCGCAGGTCCGGCGAGAAGCGCCGCAGCCGATGCACAAGGAACATGTGCGTGGCGAACGGCGACAAGCGCATCTCAACACCCTTGTCGCTCTGACGCACGTGCAGGCTCACAATCGGCCGCATCACAAACGGCTCCCCTCCCACCGATGCGTAACTATCCTTAATCGCCTTGGCATCCGCCGCGCTCATACACGTCTCATTACACCCCTCGAAGCCCCGGACAGGCCATATTTGAGTCTCGATGGGCCCTGGAGGGCCAGTGGAAATCCCGACAAGCTTCTTGGATTCGTCTGTCTCGGACGCGTTGCCCGCAACGGCCCGTATGATCTCGGACTGGGTTTCATGGTAGCGCGCGAGGTACGACGCGGTGTGCAGGCCGTAGGCGGTGTGGCGCACCTTGTTGGTCTCGTGGCACATGTGCGGCGAGGGCCAGCGCATCATGAAGCGCGTCGTCTGGGAGCGCCACCAGTTCGTCTAGGGCGACCGAGGGACGCAGATGAGGGGGTGGAGGGGTCGGAGGAGGGGGAGAGGGCAGGGAGGGGAGGGAAGGGGAGAGGGAGGGCCGGGGAAGGGTGGAAGAGGGGGGCGGAAAGAGGGAGGTTATGGGACATGAGGTGAACCAGCTGCCGTGTGGATGATACGATTTGTTAACCCTGCATACTAACCAATTGTGTATCAATCATTGGGGGATTCATTTGTACAACCGCACCCGCAAGCAAGCGAGCGCACACGCACGCACCATCTTGTATCTGATGTCAACTCGCGGCTGCTCCCCCATGACATCCAACTCAACCGGGGCCCTTTCGTATGCATCGCCCCATAGCCTGACGGAAGTGGGGGGCGGGGATGGGGAAGAGCACTCAGATAGTAGTACCAGGGCTTGGAGGTTGGGAAGCGAATGGGCACATGGAGGGGGGGAGAGGGGGGGGGAGATGGGGGGGGGAGATGGGGGGAGAGATGGGGGGAGAGGTGCGAGGGACGAGAGGACGCGAATGTATACTTCTCTGACACTTCGGCCCTTGCCATGGCCCTCAATGATTAGCCAAGGCCTTATAACCATCTCAACGGCGACCTTCAGCCATGCACCTATCCCACATTCCCTGCACCCTTCACACCCCACACCCTTCCCCCATTGCCTTTCCCCTTCCCCCTCCCCTCCCCCTTCCCCTGACACTCACTTGGCAGCGCGCGACTCATAGGACAGCTCCCTGTCGGCGTTGGAGTCAAGGTGAGCGACCAGGTCTTCCGAGGCAGCGATGCGGTCGTGGGCCTTGTCGTCCGAGGAAAGGGCTGGCATGGTGTTCTTGGCGATCATATCCGTCACCACGCGGTCGCAGTCGGGATTCACCATGGGGAAGAAGTAGCAACTCCACGACCCGCCCGTTTTGGTGGCTGGGAAAGGAGGGGGGAGAGGGGAGGGGGGAGGGCAGCGTGGGAGAGATGGGTGGGAAATGGGGAATGGGGTGGGAGAAGGAAGCGGTTGAGCATGGTGCCGACGCAATTTACCCATTCAATGTGGAATGGGCGTTGGGGGAGGAGTTGGACCCCTGGGAAACCCAGTGTGGTGTTGGAAAACCAGATGCACGTAGATACACACAAAAACGCATAGATAGGCACAGAGACACATTGACACAAGTAGAGATGCAAATACACATAGGAACGCATGGATCCACAAATATACTTGTCAGTGCGCAGCATATATGGAAGACACACATCGTAACACCTCCACTAGTACATTTTCAAGTTCTACTGTTGGTTTCCAGGAAGATTTTATCACTCTCATTCCTCAGTTGCTTCGAGAGTTTCCCAATTTCCAGATTTGCTGCTCTTCCGCTACGAGCGAGGACCCCTGGGACATTGTAACACACCTCCACGTAGTACATTTTTGTAGAAACGTGTAGATCCAAACGGATGCACATAAAAACGTACATATACCTAGATGTGTACACGAACTGGAGGCAGCGAGTAGGTTCGCACAAAGGCAAGCTTTGTAGAGCTCACCATTGCATATCTCGGTGAGCGCGCGGTCGTACGAGCCAGGCGTGGGCACGAGTGTGCGGTTGTAGATCAAGGCCAGGCTCAGGAAAGCGCTCATTATGTGAACCTGATGGTGCCAGTGGGTGGGTGCAAGGGAGAGAGGGAAACGGGAGTGGGGGAGACGGAGATGGAGAGTGAACGGGAGGGAGGTAGGGATGAAGGGAGGGAGGGAAACCAAGTGAGCAGCCAGTCCCACCTCCAAGCACCCCGACTCTCGTTTGCAAGCCCCTAAACCCACCTAGGATCCAAGTACCCTCACTTTTCTTTCCGACTCTCACTGTCCCACCCCGTAAGGCACCTGTGACGCCCTCTCCCACCTGCGAGCCCACGCCGTGACGGGCCGCTCTGGGCCACGGCACGACGAGCAGGCGCTTGCCGTCGCAGCGACCGTTGAACATCTGGTGATCCCACAGATCCCGCTGCGCAACGCGCGTCAGCGGTAAATTGTCCGCGTCGGATCCGCGCACCTGGGGGTTGGGAGGGGGTGGGCAGGGGGTGGGCAGGGGATGGTGATGCGTAGTTGGAAAGAAAATCTCCTATTTGTCTTCCTTACACCCTTGTCTCCCTTACACCTATGCGTAGTTGGAAAGAAAATCTCCTACTTGACTTCCTTACACCCTTGTCTCCCTTACACTTTTGTCTCTCTTACACCCACCTCGCTTGGAGAAGTCCTACGACAGAACGACGTGCTCGTTCGTGCCAAGTCCTCACATGACATGCGAGGTAAGCAAGGACGAAAAAGTACGCTTCTTGAGGGGAAGAAAGGAATAAATCAATCAATAACTGTTACACAATTTTACGTGCCTGGCGTTTGTAGTTGTTTGGACAAGGCTGTGTGCCTCTACAATCCCTGTGGAAGGACGAGAATGGTGGAGCCGTAGTAGTCATAGTACCCATGGTGGTTGCGGGTTGCATTCGGAGCAGTTAACAGCAGGCCGTGCCCACAGAGGAGGCTGCCCGTTGCCTTCGCGTTTCTCCGATGCCGTCCTCGCCGCTGTCAGCGCCTCGCACTCCTCCAGGTGCGGAGCGGGCGGCACGATGGCCGGCAAGGAAATCTTTGAGGGTGGCATGTGGATGTCGTGTTTCAATCCGTAGGCCTCCTCCCATAACTGACAGATCAAGACGGGGTGGGAAGTGATGAGTTAAGGGGAAGAGCGAGCGAGACGCGAGGACGGAATAGCGTGGAGCGTGGAGCGAGGAGAGGGAGAGGGAGAGGGGGAGGGGGAGGGGGAGGGGGAGGGGGAGGGGGAGGGGGAGGGGGAGGGGGAGGGGGAGGGGGAGGGGGAGGGGGAGGGCGAGGGCGAGGGCGAGGGCGAGGGCGAGGGCGAGGGCGAGGGCGAGGGCGAGGGCGAGGGCGAGGGCGAGGGCGAGGGCGAGGGCGAGGGCGAGGGCGAGGGCGAGGGCGAGGGCGAGGGCGAGGGCGAGGGCGAGGCGAGGGAGAGGGAGAGGGAGAGGGAGAGGGAGAGGGAGAGGGAGAGGGAGAGGGAGAGGGAGAGGGGGAGGGGGAGGGAGAGGGAGAGGGGGAGGGGGAGGGGGAGGGGGAGGGGGAGGGGGAGGGGGAGGGGGAGGGGGAGGGGGAGGGGGAGGGGGAGGGGGAGGGGGAGGGGGAGGGGGAGGGGGAGGGGGAGGGGGAGGGGGAGGGGGAGGGGGAGGGCGAGGGGGAGGGCGAGGGGGAGGGCGAGGGCGAGGGCGAGGGCGAGGGCGAGGGAGAGGGAGAGGGAGAGGGAGAGGGAGAGGGAGAGGGAGAGGGAGAGGGAGAGGGAGAGGGAGAGGGAGAGGGAGAGGGAGAGGGAGAGGGAGAGGGAGAGGGAGAGGGAGAGGGAGAGGGCGAGGGAGAGGGAGAGGGAGAGGGAGAGGGAGAGGGAGAGGGAGAGGGAGAGGGAGAGGGCGAGGGCGAGGGAGAGGGAGAGGGAGAGGGCGAGGGCGAGGGAGAGGGAGAGGGAGAGGGAGAGGGAGAGGGAGAGGGGAAGTCACGTGTAGTTTTTGGCGTATCATTTGGCAGCCACAACACTCAAGCTAAGCTCTTTAAAAGTATCCCGCCATCAAGCCTAAGCTAAACCCTAGACGGGAGCGAGCGAGCAGGATCCAGATTTGAGTCGCCTCCTATTCGCAGCCACGACACTCAAGCTCAGCTCTTTCGATGGATTCCCCCATCAGCATGCTGTGTGCGCGTGCAGGCACGGCGCGCAAGCTAAGCTCTTGGAATGTATTTCCCCATCAGTAAGCTGTGCTGTGTGCAGACGGGAGCAAGCACCAACTCACTCGGAAAAGCGACATGGCTCGCTCGATACCCGCCTCGCCGCCGATCTGCCCACCTGGCGTGTTGGGCATCTGCGCCAAGACGGACGGCTGCGATGCGCAGAGCAAGAGGAGCGAGACGACTATAACGAGAGACATGGTGTTGGCGAGAGAAAACGAGAGGTCTACAGGATGAGATCGAGCTATTTAGTACCAAATAAGGCGAGTTCAACTGTAAATGAAGTGCTGCTATAATATAAATTTGGCGGGGTGGCGTTGGCGTTGGCGATGGCATTGATGATGGTGATGGTGGTGAGGTGATGTGTCCTTCGCCCATCCCGATTCTCAAGCCCCTCCCTTCCAAGTAGGCTTGGCGTGGCGAACACCGCCGATGTGACGTGTCGTTCAACTGCTCGCACTGGATTTTAGCAGCCGTCCTCATTGGTCTGGTCCCAGCATTCACGTCGAATGTCCGCAACATCGGGGCTCCTGCTGCCATCATCATCATGTGGAACAGAACCGTCCCTGATTCAGCTTGCCATCTTGATTCTGGTCCTGACCGGAACGTCGAATGTCCACACAACTTCGGGTACTGTGTCATGTCGAAAATATATGTTCCTGCCAGATATCTGAGAATGCGCGCAGCAGCGTAACTTGCGCTAAAAAGGCTGAGGGCAGCCTGTTGCTTGACTGCTTGACTTCTGTTGGGTTGGGTCCATCGAGTTCATGAGTAGTCTCTCACGCTGAGTGAGAGGAGACGGAGGTGGGGGCATCCCAAAAAAATCCCCCGCGAATTTTTACACGAATGTCACATCAGGGTTACCCCGGGGTTATAGGGGAAACCCCCTTTGGTATTACCCCGGCTGTCGATCGTAATCCGCCTACCCACTTATTTACACACCTCGCTGGGTATCGAGGTAAGGATTATCCACTCCCAGATGAGCAGTGCAAAACCCCCTTCTGGGGGGCTGGCAGAACTCGCCGGCAGTGGAGTTTGAACCCGGAACCTCATCCTTCGGAAGTCCCATCTACTTGACTGGGCCACTTCAAGCTCAGGGTTACCCCGGAGAGATACCCCAGTGAGTCCGACAGGGATACCGCAATGTTACCCCGGCCGAAGTTCAGTTGTCACTGTGAGGTGACCTCGAGCTGTGACTCACATGTTCCCCAACCTTACCAACAAGTCACCTCCCCGAAGTTTGGGCCCAATCACGTGTGTTCCCGCTTCACGCGTAACAACTGAGACGCGAGCCGCGTCCGAGCTGTCAATTGCATCGATTTAAGCTTAAACATATCTACAGCACAATATATCACATTCAGTCAGTATATATGTGCCCAATAACGGTTGGTTCTGACACACGCTACTAATTGCCAGTACATAATATTTACAAAAGCAAATTACTAGAGCTTTGATTATTTAATAATAGAAATATTTCATAAACAAAATTGCAATCAATATATCATATTTCACTTTCCTGTGAACGTGCGAAAAACAGATCCCAAGATAGACCCAGACTCAGCAACAAGACTAGCGGCGTAGTCTAGACGACAGGCGGCAGCAAAGTCAACAAGCTCAGCAACTAGGGCAGACGCAGCAGTGGACTCAAACGAAGGGTTAGTGACAACAGTAAGGAGAATGAATTGACTAACATCAGGATGGGTACAAGTACTAACCCTAATTGGGTTGTACCCCATGTGGGCTATCCCACTATAGCCTTCACAAGATATAGCATATAAGTTTGACACACCCCCATAGGCAAAGTGGGGGAGAACAAGAGGTCACAAGACCAGTCAAGAAAAGCAAAGCAAGCTCAGGGTGGATCACGAAGTCACCACGCATTCTGAGCACAAGCAAATGGCCACAAGGCCAGTTCACATGCAGAGTTATATAAAGGAGAACAAGCAATACAGTGATCACAACCTAGCAAGTGTAAGCATGCATGTATATGTATAGAGATCACAGTACAAGCAAAGTCAAGAAGTGAGCAAGTGAGGCCAAGTAGGCACAAGGTCTAGAACAGTACAGAAAGGCTGATGATCACAAGGCTGAAGTGCCTTGGTGAAGATATCAGCAGTGTTGGCCCGAGTGGCCACGTAAGCAAGACGAAGCTGACCACGCTGCTGCAACTCTCGAGCAAGGAAGTAGCGCAGAGTGATGTGCTTCGTTCTGTGCTCCAGTCTGTGCTCCTGACACAAGGCAATCATGGCATTGTTGTCGACGTACAGAATTGGAGGAGAACGAGGCGGCTCTCCCAAGTCGGTCAGCAGGTAGGTGAGCCAGCGTAACTCCTGTGCAGCCATGGCCCCTGCGTAGATCTCAGCCTCACAACTGGAACTGAGAACAAAAGACGAGTGGGTAGATTGCCACGAAACAGAGCCGGAGTCAAGGCTGAAAGTGTAACCCTGTGACGACCGCTGCGTAGCCAAGTCGTCAACCCAGGAAGCGTCTGCGTGACCAGTGAGGACAACTCGAGCCCGTCCTCCAAGCACGAGCCCCATGCCCGACGTACTGCACAAGTAGCGCAACACCCTCTTAGCGGCATCCATGTGCTCTGGCCGGTGTCTCCCAGGAGCAACATAGCGTGCCAGGATGCTAAGAGGGTAGGCAAGGTCAGGTCGAGTGCAGGTCATCAGGTACATGAGGCAGCCCACAAGCTCTGGATACGGGCCACTCGGCTCTACGGACTCATCCGAAGGCAGAGCTGAGAGCGAGTGGCGAGTAGGCAGAGGAGTGGACTGTGGCGAGGAGTACGTGAAGCCGAAGCGCTGAAGGACCTGCTGCACCATGTGTGACTGAGTCAAGGTAATGGTGCGCTGTGCTCTGTCCCGGGTGATCTGCAAGCCAAGATAGCTGCGCAGCTCACCCAGGTCTGTGCACGTGTGTCTCTTCTGCAGCTCCGACTTCACGTGGGCCAGTCCCGCAGTGTCAGCAGTAGCAAAGACCAAGTCGTCGACGTACACGAGGATGTAGAACGGCGGCAGAGAGGTGTCGGTGCGTAGAAACAGCGACGGATCAGCAGTGGAAGGAGCAAACCCAAGAGCCGCAAGCGTCGTCCTCAGTGTGTCGTGCCACTCGCGAGGCGCCTGGCGGAGACCGTAGACTGGCCGCCGGAGGCTCCAATGGGTACCAGCAGGAAACGACCCAGTGAAGCCAGGTGGGCGGCGCAGCCAGATCTCCTCGTGCAGGCTGCCCTGTAGGAAGGCTGTGCTGAAGTCAAGAGAGTGAAGCTCGTAGTCACGCTGAGCGGCGACGTGCAGCAGCACCCAAAGAGTGGTCATCTTCGGGGTAGGGGAGAAGGTCTGAAAGAAGTCAACTCCCTCTCGCTGACTGAAGCCTCGTGCAACGTAACGCGCCTTGAAGACAGGCGGCCGCTTCACCCTGAAAATCCACATGCCACTGACGATGTTCGCCCCAGGTGGGGGAACCTCGTCGACGTAGGTGCCTGTGGACTTCCAGGAAGCCATCTCTGCGTCCATGGCTGTCTGCCACTGAGAGGAGTAGGGACCCTCTATCGCCTCTGCGTAAGAGCGCGGGGTCGGGATGTCTGGTGCATCCGGGTCTCCCTCAGGTGCAAGCAGCATGGACACGAGATGAGGTAAAGCAGCGGCAAAGCACTCAAACTCATCCTGTCTGTCCTCAAGGACGTCCGTGCCAAGAGCACACTCACCCCCGACGGACGGAGGACAGACAAACTCAGACTCAGCAACAAGACTAGCGGCGTAGTCTAGACGATAGGCGGCAGCAAAGTCAACAAGCTCAGCAACTAGGGCAGACGCAGCAGTGGACTCAAACGAAGGGTCAGTGACAACAGTAGCGAGAAGACGAGTGACAGTAGGACTGGCAGCACGAGCAAGGTCGGACGGCGGGTCAGCAACGTCAGGAAGAGAAGACGCAGGAGGAGACGGCAGAGGGACACCCTGTGGAGCAGTGGAAGGACGAAGTGCCATCTGGTGCGTGCTTGGGACAGGAGGAGGACGCTGACGCGGAACACGACGACCAGTGCGAACAGCGCGAACAGGCGACGCAGGTCGAGACGCAGGCTTACGACGCTCAGAAAGACCTCCTGTCAACTCAGTGTAGGGAGAAGGAGCAGGCAGTGGGGAGGCTGGCTGTAACTGCGACTGCAACTGGTCAGGCGGTGGACACAGTAAGGGAGGAGTGGGGCCAGTAGAAGGCGGGAGACCAAGAACCTGCTGAAGCAGTGGAACGAAGTACGGCCGCGGCCGCGCAGCGCCTCCAGAACCAGCACCGACAGCACTAGCACCCCCAGGGCCAGTACCTCCAGCTCCAGGGTCTCCAGCTCCAACTCCAGCAGCACCACCAGCTCCAGCTCCAGTGCCTCCGGCTCCAACGCCTGCAGCACCTCCAGCTCCAGCAGCTCCAGTACCTCCAGCAGCTCCAGCTCCAGCGCCTGCAGCACCTCCAGCTCCAGCAGCTCCAATACCTCCAGTACGAGCACCTCCGGGACCAGCAGCTCCAGTACCTCGAGTAGCTGCAACTCCAGCTCCTCCAGCTCCAACGCCTGCAGCACCTCCAGCTCCAGCAGCTCCAGTACCTCCAGTACGAGCACCTCCGGGACCAGCGGCTCCAGCACCTCCAGCAGCTCCAGCTCCAGCGCCTCCAGCAGCTCCAGCTCCAACAGCTCCAGCAGCTCCAGCACCTGCAGCACCACCAGGTCCAGCAGCTCCAGTACCTCCAGTACGAGCACCTCCGGGACCAGCAGCTCCAGTACCTCCAGCAGCTGCAACTCCAGCTCTAGTAGCTCCAGTACCTCCAGTACGAGCACCTCCGGGACAAGCGGCTCCAGCACCTCCAGCAGCTCCAGCTCCAGCGCCTCCAGCAGCTCCAGCTCCAGCAGCTCCAGCAGCTCCAGCACCTGCAGCACCACCAGGTCCAGCAGCTCCAGTACCTCCAGTACGAGCACCTCCGGGACCAGCGGCTCCAGTACCTCCAGCACCTCCAGGACCATCAGGTCCAGGGCCTCCAGCGGAAGGCCCCCCAGCTCCAGCAGCGGCTCGCTGAAGACTCCAACGCTGAGCAAACCACTCGCGCAGCTGCGGTGGAGAGAGAGCCTCCCGCCGGAACGAGGCACCCGGAGAACCTCCAGCACCTCCAGGACCAGCAGCTCCAGCACCTCCGGTCCCTCCAGCTCCAGCGC